CATCATCACCATCATCATTATCATCAGCATCTTAATCATCATCAGTTTCATCGTCATCGTCATCGTCATCATCAGCATCAGCATCATCAGCATCAACATCATCATCAGATTCATCGTAATCAGCATCACCAGCATCATCATCATCATAGTCATCATCATGAGAATCAGCATCGCCATCATAAGCAGCATCAGCATCATCAATATCATCAACATGATCATCATCATGAGTATGATCATCACCATCGCATCATCATCATCATCATCATCATCATCAGCATCATCATCACCATCAAAACATCATCATCAGCATAATCACCCTCAGCATCATCCTGTTCCTATTCCTCTTCCTCCTCCTCTTCATCTTCCTCCTCCTCATCACCATCATCATCGTCCTCCTCCTGTTCCTCGTCCTCCTCCTCCTCCTCCTCTCCCTCCTCCTCCCCCTCTTCCGCCTCCGCATCCTCCTCATCTTCGTCCTCCGCCTCGTATTAGTGTTAGCATGCGCATTGTGATTCGTATTAGTGTCACGACTAGTATTAGCAATCGTAATAGTCACAAAGTTCTTCTTACTAGTTCTATCATGTGGACATGTTGTCTACTCTTATGAGTTATAGTATGATTAGTAGTGTTATTCTTCGTAAGAGCATCCATGTCGGCGTGACCATTACTAATATTAATAGCATTAGTACGGTTAATAATTTCATGATTACAAGTACGAGTGCCAATGGAATTAGTATCATTAGTATTAGTAGTATCGTTGTTAGGGGTAATATTACTCCTCGTCCTCCTCGTCCTGCTCCTCTTCCTCCTCCTCGCCCTCCTCCTCATCCTCTTCCACCTCCTCCTCCTCCTCCACTCCTCCTCCGCCCCCCCTCCTTCTCCTCACCTTCGTATCAAAATAACTGGTGTGGTTCGTCTTCGTCGTCGTCTTCGTATTACGACTAACTGTAGTATTACTCATACTACTGTGCTCTATACTAGCATTACGACTACTAGTACGTAGTATTGGAGTGAGCTTTACGACTATTGATATTAGTCTCAATAATATGACTAAGTTACTTGTAGCAGTACGATTCCAAGTACTATGAGTAGTAGTAGCATTGGTACTAGTAGCAGTAGTAGTAGTAGGTACTACTAGTAGCAGAAGGACAGCGACAAGAAGTATTAGCAGTAGTGCCAGTAGCAGCACTACTGTTATTACTAGTACTAGCTAGTCGTGTATTGCGAGTCCTGCGCCCATACAGCTACTGAGATCCGCTGTCGCATTAGCAGCGTGAGTAGTAGTAGTCGTAGTATTAATATGATCTGTATTGGTAAGATCGATACTACGACTAGTAAAATTCTTGGATGGCACTAACAAACAGAGTTGTAGTACCATTACGACTCGCAATGGTATGATTAGTACGAGTCTTGCTGAAATTAGCATGCTTCGCACGAGCAATAGTCACATTAGTGTTACCCCATGTACTGGTATCAGTAATCGTATTAGTAATAGTGTCAGGATTAGTAACAGTACTGGGATTAATTAACTTTGTATCATTACGCATTGCACTGCGACTATGATTGATAGCATTACAACTTGTAATGTGAAGCCCAGTCGAATTCGTACCATTTAGTAGTGTGATCAGTCTTCTTGCGGTTATCATGAATAGTATCGTCGGCACGGTGATTCTTACTCGCAGTATTAACAGCACTACCGAAAACAGTTGCATTACCATCACTATTCGCTCCCCATCAATAACATTGCTACGCTCATAAGCATAATATTCGTCGCTCGTTTTGGTACTGGAAATCTTCATATAATGAGTACTCGTATGTACCGTCTTCGTATAAAAAAAAAAGATCGCCGAGAACGTAGCACTACTAGTACTATTAGTGCTGGTTCCCTTATACTTATCATTACTCCTCCTCCTCCCCCAACTTTCTCCTCATCCGCCCCCGCCTCCGCCTCCGCCGCCTCCGCCACCTATTCCGCCTCCTCATCCGCTTATTCCTCCTCCTCCTCCTCCTCCTCCTCATCATCTGCATCCTCCCCCTCCTCCTCATACCCCTCCTCCTCCTCCTCCTACCCCCCCCATCCTCCTCTTCATCCTCCTCCTCCGCCTCCTCCTCCTTCTCCTCCTCCTCCTCCTCATCCTCCTCCCCATCCTCCACATCCCCACATCCTCTCCTCTCCCCTCCTCCTCCTCCTCCTCCTCCTCTCCTCCTCCTCTCACCTCCTCCTCCTCCCTCCTCTCCTCCTCCTCTCCTCCTCCTCCTCCTCCTCGTGATCCTCATCGTCCTCCTCACCCTCGTCCTCCTCCTCCTGCTCATCATCCGCCTCCCTCCTCTCCGCCTCCGCCGCCTCCTCTTCCGCCTCCCCATCCTCCTCCTCCTCCTCCTCCTCCTCGTCCTCCTCCTCATCCCCCTCGCCTTAGTACTATTAGTAGTATGAATAGTGTTCGTTTCATATCTGTAGTAGTATGAAAAAAGTCTGATTCGTAACCGCCATATTGCCAATGATACGATGTGTTAGCATACGTAGTATGATTCGTCGTACTCTTGACAATAGCCGTAATAGTCGTATTCGTATGGTTCGGCCACTTGGTTGTATCATTATGTGTATTATCCATAGTGTGCGTATGTGCTACGACTAGAAGGAGTAGAACTAGTATCAGTAGTATGAGTATGCCACTCCTTCATCGTTATCCTTCTCCTCCTCATCCTCCTCCTCATATTCCGCATCCTCCTGCTCCTACTCCTCCTCCCCCTCATCCTCATCGTCCTCCTCCTTCTCGTCCTCCTCATCCTCCTATTCCTCCCCCCTCGTCCTCTTCCTCATCCTCATCCTCCTCATCGTGTTCCTCCTTATCGTCCTCCTTCTCCTCCGCCTCCTCCTCCTTTTCTTCCTCCTCATCCTCCTCATCCTGCTGCTGCTGCTGCTCCTCCTCCTCCTGTTCCTCCTCATCTTCTTCATCCGCCTCCTCCTCCTTCTCCTCATCCTCTTCATCCGCCTCCTCCTCCTCATCCTCCCGTTTCCTCCGCCTACTCATCTTCCGCCTCCTCCTCCTCCTCCGCCTCCTCCTCCTCCTCATCCTCCTCCTGGTCTTGTAGCTCCGTCCTCCGCCTCATCCCGCTCCCCAAGGACCACCCCGTTCGAACCCCATGTGGTGTCAAGAATATGCCACGCCTGCTAGGGCAAGGACGACCGTCACGGATAGCGGCCACGCTCAGAGGCCACCCCGTGCGCACCCCCTGTGGTGTCGAGAAAACGCCACGCCTGCCGTGCCCTGGGAGACCGTCCAAGGTAGCGGCCGCGCTCCGGGACCACACCGTGCGCACCCCCCTGTGGTGTCGAGAAAACGCCACGCCTGCCGTGCCCTGGACGACTGTCACGGATAGCGGCCGCGCTCAGGGACCACACCTTGCGCACCCCCTGTGGTGTCGAGAAAACGCCACGCCTGCTGTGCCCTGGACGACCGTCACGCATAGCGGCCGCCCTCAGGGCACACCTCGTGCGCACCCCCTATGGTGTCGAGAATATGCCACGCCTGCTGTGCCCTGGACGACCGTCACGCATAGCGCCCGCCCTCAGGGACCACCCCCTGCGCACCTCCTGTTGGCGCGCATGTGTTGCGTGGTGT